TTTCAACACCAGCGAGCTGCTCACCGCAGTAATATGAGATTGTTGGCGGTAACCAACTTGCTACTTCGAAAAAGTGCTTACATTATGCCTAAACTAAAGAATATACGGCCTTTATTTATATTGGGCAGAGGAGCGAACACCTCATTAGACGCCGCCCCCGCGGACTACTGGTCCTAACACGATGCACAAGTGTAGGAAAAGGACCAGCAACCCGCGAAGGCGGTGCCTAATTGAGGTGTTCGTTCCCCTACCCATTTATATTTACAGGCAACAGACTATGTGCGTGAAATTTTACTCAGATTTTCATATTGTACGTCGGCAGCAATGCAGAAACATTTGTGCAGTCAAGAGCTCAAATTAGAGAAATAACGTAGAAAAATATGCTTTTACAAAACCTACAATAATAGTGGCGGTCATCTACTATAGCTTTGGTCCAGGATCTTGATCTCTGGAATCAAGCCATAGCTATATCTAATGGAAGTGTCTTTAATCAAGCGCATTTCCCTAAGCTGTCTAATCCCATCTAAGTAAAAGTGTTACTCAGCAATTGTCATCTGAACATTGCCTTACGAAAAGGCCGTTCTTCTATTCTTTGCAATACACCTGCATGAATGGCAGATTAGGTGCACTTGATAGTAGTGCTCACAACTTGCCCTTTTGGAATTCTTTCGTTTAGAAATGCTCTAGAGTCTTCTACTACTTTTGCCTATGCAAATGAAATCGTGTTTAGCAGTTTCAGAAACTGACCGAAAAATGAATGGCCGACGAGTTTATGATTTTTACTGATGCGCAAACTAGGTTTATTCTCTACAAAGGAAAGTATATGTGGTACCTTCAGGAGAAACTTGGCTTTTGACTGACAGCCAACTAACAAATGGTTTAAGCTGCAAAGATGTACCAATGGACTTTGACCTGGATGAGATTATGGAGACGCTTTCAGCTTCTTGTTCCACATTGTTCGTCAAATACGCAAGTAACAATAGAGGTGCATTTAATGTATGGACGAAATTTTGACAATCTCAGAACAGCTTTTTGTAATATAAGCTTATTCACATTTTGCGATAATGGCAAAGGAATAAGTAAAATGATAGCAAACGCCAGTCTTAAAAAAATTTTTTGTTTGTAATACATATCTCATTAGCTAGGGGCGAACCTCACTAACTACAGACATATTCTTCCAAAACTTTTGCATCAAAAGTGGTTGCGTCTGATCGAAAAGGACCAACAGTATGGAGATGTACCATCTACAACTCTACTTGAAGGAAAAGCTTGATAACAACTGAAGCTGGTATTAGCCGTTTAGCTCCGCGTCTGAACACTCAAAGGAAATTGCAAACTTTTCACAGCTATGTCGGTCCCAAAGATGAGTTGAAATTCTTGAATAAGAAGTATTTACTCAAAATCTTAAAAGAAAATTCGTTGGCCGACTGTTGAAATGGGTAAACTGCTCGCAATGACTTTTGCAAGCAAACTTTGACATTGATACTCACAATCAGTTGGTGGAAGAGTATACCTGACCGATCAAGGCGCAATTGTTAGGTTGAGGCAAAAATAATGGCCATTTTGCGAATCCTCACTTTGACGCGCTGCTTTCTAAAAAATCCACATTTCTGAATATGGTAAAGACCCTGAAAAGCAGCAAACCTTTCGCAGTACAGCGCACATTTACTTTTACTCGCATCGTAAACGGGAAGGAAAATAGGAACTAAAAGACAAAAAAGATTTTTTTTTGAAACTTGTTCTTGACAATTCATAACTTCCTTGAAAATTTGTTAGCATGAATGACGAGTGGCCTTTCTTGTAGCGGTAGTACAAAATACGATGGAAAGGGTTTGGACAAAAAGAATTTGCGAAAAGGAAAAAACCAAAATTTGAAATTGTCAATTTTTTCGACATTTTTTTCAGTATGCCTCAAAACCCTAAATATAGAATTTTCCGATTTTTTGCGTACTCTACAGATGGATGTTTTTGTGAATCACCTATTAGAATGCACTAGCATTACGCTTACAGAATTGAGCAAAGCTTCGGAGACTTGACTTCTTCAAAGGAAATTTATGGGTTATAAAATTATTGCAACGGCTACCCATATTGAGACGCCGATATCTCAGTTTAGATAACTTCAGAGAATACAGTCAAGTATTCATACTCTAGATAATTTCTATTACACACAATAGCTAAATTTCCGAAGTGCATTCTATGTGACAGCGCTAGTTAGTTCCCTCGCCCGCTTGACTTGAATGTTTTTTAATATTTTGGTGGACGACTTCGAGTCAGCCTAAAGTCATTAAAGTAAGATAATACAACATCCCACCACAAAACTTGACTATACAAAATACATCTATTATTCTATCAGCTTTTGAATAACGTACACCTTTTGCTTCAACCAGATCGGCGGCTGGAAGGCGGGGCTCGTGACCTAAGTAAGGCTAAAAATAATCAGAGAGCATGTTGAGGGAGGCGCAGACTGGAAGGCGCGAGCAGTTGCCTCCTAGGTCATGAAGCACCGCCTTCCAGCAGCCAACCTGGTTGAAGCAAAGGGTACAAAAAATGCATTGTTTCTTGTAGTATTGATCGTTTAATTTTATTCCAAAATTTCTCCAATCCTTCTTTTGTCAATGATGCCGTCTCGCGGCTTCTTAAGCTCACCCATGCTGTCAGGCAGATGTTATCGGAGGCATCAAAAGCAGCCAGGAGTCTAATTGAGCTTGCACAAAAAATGGTTTCGTTTCGAGCGCTTCCCCGCTTTTCACTAGATACACTCTTTCTACATTTTTTTTTCATTGCCGGATGGATCAGATAGTCTAGAAGAGAGAATGAGAATTGCTTATGTCAAAAATGCTAGACAGATAGTATAGAAAAGTATACTCATGTTCCCCAAAGTTTTTCAAATTTTTTCGAAAACCACTAAATTCATTCTAGCTGCTACATCCTCAAAGCTAAGGTCCTATTTGTTCGGAACAATGACAACCGACGAGTGCAGATTTAGAAGTGTCATGAAGAGGCAAGCTTTGCCACTGCTTAGATTATTCATGGAAGTGCACGATTTATCGAAAAAAAGCGCTTGGAGCATAGTGAACCTCTAAAAAGCCTGCACATCTCCCACTAGTCGAACTCAAGAGTGACATCATGTACTAAGGACGTTTTCCATGTTTCTTTTTTGGAATGAGATTGATTAGGGCTTTTCAAGATGCGCGAAAGATGTGTAGTGCTCCTCCGCCATTCGAGGTGTAAGTCCGTCAATTGAATTATTTCTTTTTATTCGGATGGCTAAGCAATGCGCTGCAGCAGAGGTTTTTATTGCAACTCAATCAGCTTTTACAGAAATTCGCTCCTTTACGGTGATGATTTTATGGTAAAAGCCTGCCCGAAAAATCACTCTGCCTCTAAAATATTCCACAATGTCTTGACGTCGCACATCCTCTTCTTCAGCATAAAACGTCGACTGTGGTTTTATGGGAAGACTCCAAAGAAGATTTAACCCGCTGCTGTAGATGGGAAAGAGCATGACATTCCAACTTCGCTGTGCTTTTTCAAAAACTAACAATCAAATTGCTTTCTTTGACAAAAAAAGAACTATAAGGTGCAATGCCGGAGGTACTGCAAACTTCGCCATACCTAACAAGATAAATGCTACCTTCAGATGAGATCTTTGCTAATTTCCATTCATTTTTGGATTTTGGACCCAACGTCGGCATCGAGAGTGAGTAATAAAGGGAAGTAACTGTATGTACGTTACCAAAATCTATTTTAATTTGGTTATTATTCATTGGAAACTTCAAAAACAATCATTGGAAATTTTAAAAACTTTGAGTGATATTGCTGACTTGTTTCGAATCATCACGCAATCCTTGTGCATGCGACAACTCCCTGAAAAGATGGAAGCTTAGGAAAAAGTCAATTACGTTTGCACTGGCTACACATGCATTCAATCGCAATGGCTATGGAAATGCCGTTCTGGATCAACGAATGTTTCATCGACTACTTAGTGAATATCTGTGCTTTCATTTAAGCAGTGCTGTTACGGCACTTCTTTCTCGAAATTGGCAATTCAAAATCAAAAATTGTACACGAAACTATTTGGGTCGATTTATCCATTTTTAGCTTCGCACGTGTTAGTGACAGGAGCAATCTTCTGTGACTGAAATAGATTCATCAGCGGACTCCATTTCTTTATAAGGTGACATTCTTTATTATCGAGTCTTCCCTGCACCATGCAGCTTGTCATTTGCATAAGCATCCGAACGTGTTATAGTCGCAAAAAGATGCTCATCATTTTTTCTCTCAGGTTAACATTTGTTAGCTTTTGTTACTTCTCTTGCTGATGAGCCGTTGGTAAATAAATAACTAATGTAACCAAAATGCCCTCCTTCAGTAGGATCGTTGACTAGCAACTGCCTCGAAAAGCAATAAATTATCCGCCGTGTTTCAGCTAAAGCAAACTTTAGATCCTATAGATTTTGAGGATTTATTGTCTCTTGAAGCCTCGGCGAATAACTGTGATAATATAAAGACATAAAGCGATGGAAAATCTTTCTTAATACACTTTAAATGCCAATGGCTTTTCAAGGGATCGAGAGATAATTTTTATGTATCAAAAGTATATGTAGCATTTACCTTGAGATGTCCTTTGCAAACTAATAAAAAAATCATTCAGATTATTTTGTTCGCATCTTCTCGTGTGTAGACAATTAATTACTTGATTTTAGCCTATTTTTGGCACAATCGTAAGCACTACCATAGTCTTCTGGAGTGCCCCTCAAATTAAGTTCACAAAACTGCTTCTTCCTCGGACATCGTTTGTTCAGTGTCCGACTATTTTCCTACATGCAGGTGAACGGGATTCATTTGAATAAAGCCAGTCTTGCTATTGCAGCGCCAATCATTTGCACTCTCGCTTGCTCAAAAATTTTTGTCTCTCCTGGGAATACACTCGTTGATTACGAGGCTGGTTGTGGAATTATCAGAGCAGCGAACGCTGGTGTAGCTCACTCGCTGGCAGGAACATATCGACCGATCCGAAATAATCTCACAGATCTGTTGATCTACAGATCTGCGGGGCCCCGTGGACCACCGACGTCAACGCCGCAGTCACCGCTGCCGCCGCAGGAGTCAAGGGCTATCGGGGAGGCTAGGCGCGCGGTAGGCGGGGTCAATGCTGCGCAGTACCCTCTACTTTCCTCGGAACGCTTCATTCGCTCTGCCGGGAATGCGCTGTACACCGCTGATATTTACATTATTTTTACATCTTTGTACTGGTGAGTATCTTTCTCGAACATTTCTATCAATTCCATCGCAATGTGATCATGTTCGTTTCGTCATTTCAAACTCTGAAATTAGCATTGTGCTTTGGTGTTGCTTCCTACGGTAACTTTTACTCTCAAAACCTCTACCCAAGCCTTGCTTTCTTCGGCTCAATCAGCACGGACTGCTTTCTGGTCATAAATATTTGAATAATGAGGCAGCTGAAGTTATTGCGCCAGCTTTTTTAGCGCTCCAAGCACTCGGGTTTACGGGCTGCATAAGTCATGGTGACGGTGTAGGTGGCCTATGTCCACGAAATCTTGCAAATGTCTTGCGTCAAATGAACTGAATTCGTGAATCAACGAAAAACTGATAAGTTTTGCCGTTGGCTGTTAGACTAATAAGTAAGCGGCCGCCAATTATAGCACTAAGTCGGCTTTCACTCCCGTAATATGTTGCTATGTTTGACCAGCGGCCAGTCTGACAAGTCTAAACACTTGATGCGAACAGCCTGCCTCTTTGCTTGTCAACGCCGACTCCAAATAGCCATTAGAGAATGTTGCGATTGCTAAGAAGCGCATAGTAGCACTTGGTTACTGGGGACTTCCAAAAACTTTCTGAGCTACATAATCGAGATTTGCATTTTGTGGGTTAGTGAATCCTGAGAAGGTTGTACATCATTTCTATCGCATTCTTCTTTCCAGCTTGGGAGCTGGTAGTCATTCCGAATGGCGACCGGCTACTGGATCAGAAGACTGGGGACAATTTCATGGTCTCATGTAAAGTGAAAGATTACGATGGAGCTGCCAGCGATGTGAAAGTCGAATGGTATAAGGATGGAAGCGTAGTTTCGCGTCTCGGAAGCATCATGACCATCTACAAAACTTACGCCAATCAACTCCTAATTAATCGACCGAAAATTAGTGACAGTGGAGAATATGTGTGCAAAGCCGAGGTGAATGGCGAAGAGCAAGAGACGACCGTACGGATCAGCTTTGCCGGTAAGTGCTGTGTAAATCAATGTTCAGTGGCAGTGTTTCTTGCTAACCAGCCTTCGCTTCCTTTGGCTGAGAAAATTCTGCTAATGTAGGCTAGGTAAATAGTACGGTGACAGGAAGTGAGGCTATTGCAAAGGTGTCACTTCCACTTCGACCCGAGAGCTGTTTCAGTTTGAAGGTCAAGGTCTCGTAATAAACTTCTGCAAGTAGTTGAATGCACATCTTCGTTGAGCCGGGTAGTTCAGAAAGCTTTCTCTCAGATCCTCCCAAATTCATCAGTCCTCAAACTGAGCAGCATCCAGAAGAAGGTTCTACAGCTGAAATTGTTTGCCTAGTGGAAGGAACGGAGAAACTAGAAGTGTTTTGGCAATTCAATGGTACTATTCTTGAAGAAGGTAAGATTGTTTTTTTTGTTTTGCTTCCCTTTGTATGGTGAAATAGTGGAGTAGTAGCCGGTCCAGTGACCTAATGCATGCGTACCTTCGATATCTATCGATCCAGGATTGAGAGTCTTTGTTGCGCAATCTCGTATTGTGCTAGGATGCGTGCTTAGCTGCGTTTGCGTTGCGTTTGCTTTTTTTTTCTGGTTATGCATACAAAGATTTTTTTCTGCTGCAAGGGTAGTAAGCGTAGAGCAAATCCTCGCAAAACCGATTCTACGGGCAACAACGTCTACTGAATTTGCTCGGCTACCTCAAGAGTGTAATGGTCCGTGAAAATATGAAAGCGAATGCTGGCCGCGTCCAAACAATAGCACATTCGAGTCGAAATGCCTCTGCTCTGCAAGCGTTCTTTGTCAATTGTTCGTCACTACTGTCTAGCGTTGAAGGCATTTGCATATGCATACCACTATAAAGAGGGTCAAGCTACCGAGGGGGGCCCCCTAATCCTTTTGTTGCGAGATTACAGGGCGGTCGCAACATCTGCGATCGTTACGTCTTGTTACGTAGCGACGCGGTTTACAGTGCGCTGCTCTGGGCAGATGTTTTGGATGAGCCAATTCTGTCTTGTGGACACATTCGCGCCTTTGAAAATTGATACCGTTGCTCGCACAGTAACCGTACATAATTGTTCATACCGTATGTTGCGTAGCGTTGAAAAGGAAGGGGATCGGCGTAAAGTAAAGTTACGATAGGCCCAAAACAATGGAAAACTGACGTTTGAGAGGATCAGAGCTGGTGGCATCGCCGCGAACTCGCTGTTGCATCTACTTGTTTGCTCACACTAAACAAGAAGCGATCGATGTGCTAGCAACCGGGTGGGTAGCGGGGGAGGGGGGGGGGGGAGAAGGGGGAAATAGCTGAATGGGTTAGTCCACTAATGCGATTGTAGAAATTTATGGGTACTTCCGGCGATGTCCTAAGGAGTCACCTACATCAACATTATCAGTAAACCGCTTTTAGGGTCACCTCGAGGTTACGAATTTCAAAACGACCGCCAAATTCTCCTAATTCCTGAGTATGATTCTAAGAAAGATGATGGCATCTATAAATGCAATGCAGCCCAGTTTTCGTCGTTTGAAACTCTTGCCATCAACGTCACCGGATACTGTGAGTTCAGCAATATCCCTGCTATTGGTGATAGTACTTTTTCCTCTTTTTTTTTTACAGCTCGTCCAGTCATAACTGTTTTCCACGCTCCTGAGAACAATATCGGTTTTGAAGGAGCAAGTGCTAGAATACAATGTGGAGCTGTTGGCAAACCGAAACCACTATACCAGTGGTTCCATGAGGTTGCTTTTCTTTTCTCAACTGAAAGATTGCTGGGTGGTGTGGTAAACTGCAAAGAGCAGTTGGAGTAGGAACACTAGCAAGTTCTAGTTTTGAGATTAAAAAAATTTGATTTATGTACAATTGCGATGTATCCTTCGCATTGCGAAACATCGAGGATAAATGATGGCCGTGTTGATTCAGTTTTTATCTTGAAGTATGTGGACAGGCTAACCCATTTGCGAGCCGAACGGAATAGGGTGCATTCATTTCTTAACTCAGATATTTTGGAGCGGGAATGACAACCCGTATACTCTGGATCACTGATCCCAAGAGAATTATACATTCATGCTCTTATCGTGTATCCTAGTTGACGAAGACACGATGGCAGATCGATCAGTATATGCTCAGTAATTTTGTTCAGTAGCGAAAAGATGAATAGATGGTTGCCCCAGGGGATATAACGCGAAGTGGAGCGCTAGTATTCTGAAATTCGTTCTTCGGCAACGGTTCCGACTAACACTGTACTAATTTGACGCCACATAAGTAGGTGACAGTTGGGGGTGTTAGGTTGAATAGAGAGGTGACGATCCATCTGTCAGCATAAATAATCGAGTCGCGACCACCTGTCGACGTGGCATGCGAATGAGTTGGCAGATCGTGGGAAACAATGCGATGAACACTCGCATCGCGTGACGAGAATACCGTGATTGCAGAAGAGGAGGTCATTTGCATGGATAACCGAGATGTGCGAGATGATTCCGTGCATCACGCGAGCGTGCCCTTCATCAAACAAGTACCTGAGCGTCATTATCAGCTAATCCCGTTACTCGGCCAGGGGGTGGAGAAGGTCAAGGGTGTGATTTGGGAATTGTATATCGAGTCGTTTTCTCATTGCAATTGTCCACCTGTAATTGTAAACAACGTATTTACAACCATTTGGACACACCAATTAGGCGAAATATGATTGGCATATTCATGGACGAAGGCACTCGTAAGTGAGGACAACTAGTACCTCAAACTGAACATTGCTTAATTGAAAGGAGCGCAGTTTCGGAACCTTTACATACGAGGAAATGGAACTGGGCACATATATCTTAGTAATGGGGATGCTGAATTGATGTGTTATCTACAGAATTTGGCACATAAATCTTTTTTCTTTGCTGAAGTTTGGGTCATGATCATCCTAGACATCTTTTACCGTATGCTATTTTTTACTTATAATGCTATAGTCTATGGTCTGCTTTTTTTGATTTCTTATCTTTTCTACAAGTCTGCGACATATTAGTTGCTTCACTGTTTTTTTTTCTATTCGCTGGCTGCTCTTGTTTTTTTCAAACAGTGTCGTTCTTGATTTGCCACACTTGTCACACTATCCTTCCGCTATCTAATCTTCCCACTTTAACTCGTTTCCTCTTGTTGAACACATTTTCCAATTTTTTAGTGCTTAAAAACGTTTCTATAGCAGATTCGTTTTTTTTTCTGCAAAAATTTTATTTTATGAGGTTGCACAACTCTGTTCACAATCATCGCTAGCTGTCGTATGTATTTTGCTTATGTCGATTAGGGCCATGCTGGAGATCATTTTAAAGAACCTCGAAAAAACTTTTTTATTCTTGAAAGCCTTGGCTGCTGGCTAAAACTTTGCAGAGTCCAACGTACACAGGTTGCACATCTTTTTTCCTGTAATTCTGGTCCTACCAAAATTTTGTCATCTACTTGAGCATCTGTGTATGGCTCCGAATTAGTTGTGTCCTATTGCTCTCAGCGAAACCTTTGCTCCAAATGCGCGTTGAAGCGAACGAGAGATCGCTTGAGCAGTCATTCACTCTCGCAGTTGTGGCCTCTTGACTGATTGAGTAACCGATACTGCCCTTGATGAAGTTTTGCCGACCTCGAGTAGCTTTTTGAGCGACGAGCAACTCATTATGGGGAGTTGTCATATGCATAAGGCATGCTTGGCCAAGTTCAGGCTCTAAAAATGCGTGGAAAGGAGTGGAAGTTGCTCAGGGATCTCCAAAAGTAAATGCAATGGCGCCATGAAAATGTCATAGCGAATCCTACAAAATATTGCGAAATGAAAAAGAAAATTTTTTTCAGAGCGGCGAAAGTATTGGCGACTCGGATAAGTATAAAGTTCACGATGGTCTACTAGTAATCGAATCCTTGTCCGAACATGACAGCGGCCAGTACAAATGCGTAGCTTCTAATGCAGTTGGGAACGCGACACAAACAGCTCAGCTGAAAGTTCTGCGTAAGTCATAACCATCGATGTAAAGTTGAAATTTATGAGACAGAAGAGATAATCTTGCAGTGAAACCTCGAGTGGAGAAACTCTTAGATGTAACCAAAAAAGAGAACGAGAATATAGAAATCGTCTGCAAATATAGTGGAGATGGTATTAGCAATGCTAAGTTCGTATTTGGCTCAGAAGAATATTCGGTTGGTGCATCGCTCAATTCTCCTCGACCCTTATTCCATGAAACAGTCTTGATGATTTTTTTAAGGTTGTTGACGACGAGGAACAAAGCAAAGAGCTGTCGCCTTCTGATAAATCTGGTAATGGAGGTGAAGATGAAGATGGAGAAGAGGAGGACGATGAGGAAGGGAAAGATGAAGCCGCGAATAACGAAAAAGATAACGAGAATGCTGACAAAGACGAGGATGAAGATGAAGAGGAGGATGATGAAGATGAAGTCAAGGAAAATGCTCGAATCAAAAGGGTGAGGCAAAGTTCTGCTTGTATAAATTTATCTTTGCAATGGTCTATATAATACTTTTATTAGTATTTTGATCACTTCATGTTGATATGTACTTTCTTGATGTCATAAGGCAAACTTTGTTTATATATTTTTGCTTTGATTTCAGTTCGAGGAAGATGTAACTTCTGAACGTTTGAGCGTACGAGCTGAAGGGGATTCCATCATTCTCAGCATTCACAATCTAACCATGTCGGATGCTGGATTGTACAAATGCGCAGTATCAAATAATGCTGGGAGCACTGAGCGAGCTTTCAATATCGCCATTACTCGTTCGTTTTTTCATTATTTTTGTTTGTTAACAATTGTATGCTGTGCCCCAATTCGTAAATAACATACCTGGAATTGTTATTTCATCGCAACAATTCACGCTCCCGCCAAATCGCGAAGCGACCGCACGCAACCGCTACCATATCTTTTGCCTTCTTTCTTTTTTATGTGTTGGTTTCATAACTAAGCAGAAGATTGAGGCCATCCAGCGCAATTTCTGGAAGTTCTGCCCTCAGGGCTGTTGTAGATGTGCAGCCTACAGTAGTTGTTTGAGTAGAGCAGCATTCAATTTTACTGATTGTGAGACCTAAGCGATTTTTTCTTGTGTAATTAAGTTTTGTAGCATGCTTTAAAATTGCTTTTGATACCGATAACTTTTGTTTGCTCATCATCGCCAAGACCTTTTAGATCCACCAATTCTTCGACGTGCTTCTGAAGATCAAGTTCGCTCTTTTGATGGAAATACCATCCATTTGTTCTGCGAAGTTTCAGCTGTCCCAAGTCCATCATGGATTTGGCTCCGCGATGGAAATGAGGTGCACACTACTAAGTGGTTATCGAGAAAACAGCTTCCACAATCGTAAAACAATTCCAGGTTGAAGCTGATGGTTCATCCATAATCATCGAAAGTCTTGAAGGACGTTCAAAGCTGACACTGCAAAACTATGCTGGAAGGAACTATGGAAGCTACACTTGCAAAGCTGATAATGGTGTAGGAATTTTCGCAAAAGCAATTGAAGTCCTTCAAGTTTGTAAGTGCTGCCATATTAGAATCTGTGTTAATACTGTGAGTAAGCTTTCACTTTCTAGTCCCACCCATCATTCCGGAAGGAATTGACTGTAAGAAGCGCTTATATCCCAACTATGGCAAATGTTCTATAGACCTTGAGTCGTACAACGATCATGCTCGACGACCTTCGCGCATGGAATTTCAGGTACCATCTCGGTTCATACACGATCATTAATGCTCAGGTTGAAGGGATTCTAGCAGCAGGATTCACGCTTTAGAATGTTTTTTGCAATTTATTTATTTTTTATAGATAATGGAAATAGGCGACAGCTCATTGGGTGAGGACTGGAAAAAAGCTCGGGTAATCACTGTGGACTATGGTAAGTTCGCACCAGTCTCAATCTGAACTACTCTTACTAATTTGTCGGCATATTTTAAGATGCGGAAGAAATGGTATTGAGAAATCTCACTCCGAACACTCAATACTCCGTTCGAGCACGGGCAATTAATGAGGCTGGCGAGAGCGATTTTTGCTCTCCTACCATTATGGAGACGACTGATCCTTGGGGTATGATTCTGAGTAGATTGTATTTCTTAGATTAAGTAGTGTTTCTTTAGCTCCGAAAAAACCGGAAAATGTTCGAATGGAGTGCGATGAAGTTTGTACTGTTTTTTGGGATGAACCAAACGACCACGGATCAGAAATTACTGCGTATCGAGTAGTCATCCAGGAATACACTGAAAATGAGGAAACTGGCGAGGCAAGTTGCTAGAAATTTTCTGAGATATGTTTGCTTATAGCAGGTTTTCAGGAAGAGGACATAGGGAATGCTTTCTCTGTCGAAGTTCCTGGCAACGAGCGATCACTCGAGCTAACGCATATCCACCCTCATTCCTCTTATCGAGTGTCCGTCTCCGCAGTCAATTCCATTGGAATTGGCGAGATTGAAGAAATCGAGGTTGATACAGATGGTCAGTTTTGTTTTCAGATTGAAATGTAGCTAGTGTAATTACAACTAGCAGTTAGCTATTCAGATGCGCCACTATCATCTTCCGAGTCTTTCCTGACACCCAAACTGCCCATTATCGTCGGACTATCTCTTCTAGTCATTCTTATCATCATTGACCTTATCTGTTACTCAACGAACCGGTGTGGCCTTATCGCATGCTTCTGCATAAATTGCCTTGGACGAGCTCCACGAGATCGCAAAGAGAAAGATGTCGAAGCGGGAAGGTTTGTTCGTTCTGATTTCATTTGCGCAATCTTTGCCAAGTCTCGCTTTCCCACTCATATATCTATTTGCTTTCAGAGGAGAGAACAATAGGCTACTGGATAATCAGACATCTAGGTAATGAGGTGTATGTGAAATGTCGAGTACACGCGCTTTTGTGTTTGGTGAGTAACGTGTTAACAGTGTCTATTGTGAATTATTGTTGTTTTTTGTGCAATAATCGCTTGCTGCTTTCCCTCAGAAATCCTTATGTAGAGTTGTTTATTTGTTGGTACATAATTGCGAATGGTATTAATGTCGTAAATACATACTACAATGTAAAAAAACTCAAGCCTACCCAAAAAATTCAAAAAAATTTAGTGTCTTAACTTACTGCTTTTTCCTGCATATTTATAGAAAACAAGGTACCAAGCAAGGATTTTCAGAAAATCTTGCGGATGTAGTCTGCTTTTTCTGTGTGAGAGACTCATAGCAAATCTGTTTATGTCAGAATGTCTCATCACCGTAATTTATTATTCCTCGACTAAAAGAAGAATATGTAACAAAATCGATCTTGCAGCAGGCTGACTGTAGCAGACGTAATATACTTTCAAAATCCATATTTTCAACCTTTGTTGTTCTGTTGTTGAACACCTTTGTCATATGCAAATGTTCAGCGTTTAGCGAATAGTGTTGTACAGTATTCTTAGTCATTCCAGTCCTCATACTACGATACTACAGACCGTACCGCTAACAACTACCGTTTGAAGACTATACACTAATGCACCAGATGTACGATAATTTTACCTTGCTACAATTAACTTTCACTGAAGATCACTTCTCTTATACACTCTGTTTATTTTAATATTTCTTCTCCTAGAAACTGTGTCATTGGTGAAAACTATTCACCGTAATGTGTATGGTGTTTATCTCGTGACCACTTCTCTGATTTTATTCGTTACAGTTTGTTAAGCATTTGTCTTTTACTTTCGCCCTCTAGTGAGGAACTGAGGTCGGGTCTATTTTGTTGTGAGCATTCACTTATTCGCGCATAGCAAGCAATATCTCCTATGAACATTTTATGTATATTATATTGCTAGGAATGTCCATCTCATACGCCGATTTGATTCTGAGAAGTTGATTCCATTGTAAAAACAATCTTTTATTCGGCAAGAAGATGCGAGGCAACTCGGATAAAATAAAGTCCTTGTTGTACATTATGTTATGACAATGATATGAAGGTGATGACTGATGAATAGGAAACAGACACTCTACTAGAATGCACAAGTGAAGAACGCAAACCGGGTCCAAACGCACCGAAATGACCGAATTGAAATGAGCAAATCTGGTAAGTGCACAGTAAGGCTTGAGGTACTTCGTTGAGTGATTTGTCAATAGGACAAATTCGATCTTTGTTTAACGTGGATCTACATCAGCTTCAGAGCGTTTTACGTATGACATGAAAGAAGTTGAAGGCATTTTGACAATGTAGAGCCGTAGAATGTGACTGATACACCTCTAAAGGCTGAGGTCATCCGTGAAGTGAGACGCTCACACTTGACGAGCCTGGAAATTGAATTTAGAGGTGCGGCTGCGGAAGTGCAGATAAAATTTTCTACCTCGGCGAACACAGGACACTTTGTGAATCGGGGGTGCAAGGGCGTTCATCATAACGGGCGACTGAGAGCGTAGGGAGCACTTGTGATGGATGCCAAGATCCACCTAGAACCTTTTTTTTTTTCGTAAAGGCGTGAACACTCAAAAACCACTGCTCGCCCTGGGTAAATTTGGTCGCCTCTTACAATTTCTCTGCGGGCTATCACCCTAAAGTTCTAAAAAAGAGGGTGTTGCTCTAGCGAGCTCTCAGAAAGAACCTAAAGTTAATCTGGATTTTCAAAAATTTAGCAAATCATTTTGATTTACCAGTAAAAAAGCCTTGGTTGAGCCTTCACCTAGTATCATTGAAAACGAATAAAACGCTGCATATTCATCGAAAAGTCGCAAGCATGTAATTTTTCATCAAAAGTTCGGCTCTTTATCAAGCTTCTCGTGTAGTCTCACAGGAACAGGGGTCTATATATAGTCCAAGATATTTTTACAAACGAATTAAGCAGGAAGCACATGGAGGCAATCAAATCAAATTTCCTTCTCTTTTCTTTTTTTTGAAAGATAGAGGTTGTGTCACTTCGCTGTCTTTTGATAATCGTCATAGCAACAAAGCTTGAAGGTATGACCAAGAATTTGCAGCGGTAGTAAGGAAATCATTCAAGGCAGAAAAATGATTGTTGTTGTTGATCATAAACCATCCTAATAAATTTTGTAGATTGCAGTCTATTAGGTGACTCAAAATTTCATTTTTGAAGTTAACGCTGAAATAAATATCATTTGCTAACATTCCCAAAGTTTAATTTGTTGCGGTCGAATGGGCGGAGAAATGGAAAGCTGTTTTTCAGAGACAAAAAAGAGTCGGGGCTATTTCGCTGTTTCTTACGAAATGGAGTGCAGCCAACAAATGAATAATGTTTACTCTCTTTAGCTTTGTGTGATCAGCAACACTGCTGTCACTTTCGAATGAGTTGTCACGGGACATTGGCTGCTGATTTGCTAGCCAAATGATACATCTTACTGAGATTTCTTTTGTGATGATGCCTCTGTTTCATTTGCAAGTACGTATGAAAACTGACGTAAAACTCAGGACCTTAAGTTTACAGATACAGATCAATATGTGATGTGATCTGCCATTCTGTTTTCTTCTTTGAAGCAAGTAATGTATATCATGACTAAACGCAATGCAAAATATGAGCAACTGAGTCAAAGAAAGTATGAAGCACTTACCAGTTCCATACTATCCTCGCCAGCATCAGGATCCTCGTCCGAATCCCTTCGCAAAATTTGAATCTAAGAATAGTTGTAATCATTGAGATGAGCTCCTCTAATATTCGGTAGAAGTAGATTACGGTAAGAATAGGTATGTTCAACACGCAAAGTAATAAAGAGAAGGGGGAGATGAAGGGTAGCACACTATTGACCTGTGGTACCTGATTCGACTCGATTGCATCTTGACATGGGGATAACGAGTCGTCAGAGATGATGGCAAGGTTTCGACTATCTGACGGGGGATACATTTGATATTCGGATTCATCAAATTGCCCGCGTAACTGTAAATATAAACTTAGAAACGTGGCAGGAGTGTATGCAATAATGCAGTTAGATGTTACAGTATACAGCTAGAATACGCTTCTTGAATATTACTTGTGTTGATTTTCTCACTACTGCCATTTTCCAGATAAAGTACCTAGACTTTAAGCTTGAGTGAAATGTCTTACTTAACCCATCCATCAAAGCGTTAGCTCAGTGATTCATTCGCGGCAGAGAGATTCAGCCATACACTCTCGACCGTAAACGTACTGTAATCAGGGGCGCTGATTGGTTCGCTTAGAAAGCGTACGGTCAGGGCAAAAAATCAGTGTTTAATCTCTCAGCCGCAGATAATGTAGATACTCAATGTAAGGAAATAAGATAAGCTACTTTCAAGCACAAACAAATTCCATATTAAAAAATAGCAAACTAACCCTTAGCTCGTCCAGTTCTTTAGCGCTGCAACTTGGTGTTTTCACAGAGTAAACATTGTGAAACTTGCAGAAGTCGATGTTGTACTGACCGTTCTCCTTCTTGTAGTGCACCAATTTCTCGAACCTGCAGAACGTAATATTCCAAAAATGACGAAATGGCCATCATGAAAATGAACCTAATCTCAGGGGATGTTCAAGCTTTTGCCTTGTTTTTCTTATAAAAAAGAGCCAATACAGAAGCTATCCCTCCTATACAACTTGAATAACATAAGAAAACGACTTCAAAGCTGATTGAAGATTTTGAATGAGGCGGTAGGAAGAAGAATTTACCTAATCTTGCTTCTGGGTAATTCATCAACAATAAAATTCTCAATCAATGCAGTTATCGATTGAAAATTCTTGTGAAGCATGTTAAGAGCAGGTAAGAAGTGATTACAGAGCAGCTTGTAAATTTCAGAGAAAAGCCAAATTATGACAATCATATAGAAGGTATGCCCTAGTGGGTTGGACAGCCACTGGTTTAGTCTTACAAAACGAGAAGCACAGTGTGCTCATTCAAAGGAATTATAAGAAAAGTTGACTTTGGATAGCTTCTGTTTGCTTAGAGTCAGCCGTAATCTCAACAAAAAAAAAACAGTAACTGCTTGATTTTAAAATCATGAGATTTATCTAAAATCTGTGGGCTACTTTATATTTTCGAAATGGCGATTTGTGTTGAATATGTCAAACATTCACAAGTTGATTTACTTCGAGATAACCCCCACCAACCAAGTAGCTGTGGCCGAGCTATGCGATTTATCAATGTTTCGCAGCAATGAACATTTTCCCGCTTCCTGTTAATTTGCACAAACTAAGCAATATATCTATGTGTCAGCTCGGACTAGTAAACAGATGTAATCATAATAAACAAGTTCTCTGCACAGTGCTTAGAGCAGGTGAAAGAGATCTCTATGAAATCAACCATGTACAGAAATGGACATGAAAAAAGTGAACGAACCGCTTTCCCCAAAGAATTTCGCTGGGCAGATAGCTTGTCCTCGCTTGGGTTGTTGAGCCAACGCTTTCCACGACTCCTTCAAGGATGGCTGCAAAGCACGGTTAGCATATTAATGGGGAAAAGAACGAACTCACATTTTGAATGGAAGATTACCTATAATCTCAAATTTGGCATTTTTGAGATCTGCTTCTCCGACGTCGTAGAGCGGGCTCATCTCATCTATCTCGTGACATATTGTTATTGGCCATATCACAAAAACTCGATCCAATCCTTCGTCATATCTAGAAACCGAATTGATATGAAAAATTAAGTGACCATAAGCACATAAGCATTATCTAACGTATATATTACAACGTAGAAAAACTTCTAAGACTTCACTGAGATAGTTTGGCCTCTGGCCTTATTTTGTGTTCCTTTTTAGAAATTTCCAAACGCTTGTGAGAACTATTTCGGGACCGACAACGGATTAAGGAATAATTGCAATAGAAAGTAATGATTAATTTCCTCACCCTACGTTCATATCAAACTGGTGAAATGGCAACAGCTCCCCTTCGTACGTAACACATCGCTTGATCATCTGAAATAGAAAGATATCACTTCCTAAGTTTTTTCTCAATGCTTGTTTCGACTGTTTGTACTAGTTTATAGGAAAGCATCTACAATGACTTAAATGTATTTCAAGGAAAAGTGGCTCAGTCTACAGATTAAAAAAAATATTTGAGGCACCTTTCCAAACTTTATAAAAGATGTTTCACAATTATTTTGTAGAACTCAACTGATGGTTTGTTATAAGTTCGATAATTACCAAAAGTTAAACTGATAGGCAATATTTAGGAGAATGTATCTCAGCCGGCGAAATAAATCTACGTTAGTGAAAATGGTATAAAATCTGCTCAGGAGAAAACAGAGAATTTTACAGATTTGTATTTGATCAGAGACAGAAGCAAATCGAGCATGGAACAAAACCTAAGCGATCAGAAACTATTGACTGACCAATTGAGAGAAAATGATTACTGGAATTTTTCTGTGCTTACCTGTAACCTAACGTGAGCTTCAGCAAGACTACTTTTTCGCATATCTCCTACTCGAAATAATAGACACAGCTTGCCATCTCGCATGCAGATCACCTAAGACAATTTGAATTTCTCACAATAATTTGAAAATTTCTCTAGGAACACGTGCTCTTGAGTTCTTGAATCAACAACAGAATTGGACTCAAAAATTTGCTATATGCTCACCGCATTTTTGGAAAAGATGAGGGTGGCTGCCCGCTTGATCGGTCGAGCTAATTTTGAAAAAATAATACCAGCCATTAAAGTCTGAAAGGAGCATTTTACATATTTCAGTCACCTTTTAAGATGGGATGGATATAAAAGAGAATTTTCGAGCATTCAAGACTAGTTTCCAATAATGCCAATTTCGCTTGACTATCATAACCAAAGAACCTAGATCGATGCAACAGGGGCTAAATAGTAGGTTGTCCCAAAAGTCTTTTCATATTCGGACCTTCAATTTGATATTTCTCAAGAACTAGGGCACCTAGTAAGCTGTAAATTTTTTGACAGCAACTCTGAGTGAATAAGCTATATAATCGCCTATTTTCGGGGAACACAGAACTGATACAGGCAAAGTTTAAAAATTGAGCGCATTATTTTTTTCTTGGTTTCTAGCCATCAGAAAAATGCAGCAAGTGCATACATAAATATCCGATGAGAAGAGTATACGCTTTGAAGTGAGATATGACGATTTTCATTTTGTCGGAAATTCGGAATTTTTTTTGTTTTGGCTGGGAACTTGAACGGATTGAGGTTTGTGCGAACTTTTAAAGGCCATCTTGTAGAGCTTGCTTTAGTCTGTCGAATAATACCACGCATTCTATTAGAAGATGGAAGAGAACTGATTTATGTTGCTGGAAATTTAGGTATGAAAAGACTTATGGGACAACCTAATACTAGCAATACCCAGGTTTCCGCCTGTCAATCATGGCTCAATGGGGTAATAGGAGTGAATAGAAAGACTGCGATATGAATGGAGGAGGTTCAGTAGGTAATATTGGTTCTAATAGTCGTACGCTCTAAATTTGAGAACTCGTATCCTTTTGCTTTCTACATGATGTTTCTCGTCATTGAGTTGAAAGAGGAAAGCATTTGCTTCGTAATGCAGCCTCAAAAGATTTCCAAAAATTCTGATTCGCTAAACAAAAACTGATTGCCTGGGGTTGCCCAAAATTTGAGCCGCCATAAAATCAAAAAAAAAAATACAGTGCTGGACATAATTATAAAGCCACTCTTGGTGCAAGAGTTTTGTCAGTTTTTTCAATCCATTGGCAAGCGCGCTAAAATGAAGATAAACAAACACTTCAAGAAGTTTCCGATGCAGAATTTCTTCCTCTTTCCAGCTGCTGAATTCTCGTTGTGTTTCGTTGAGAAAATAACGAGTTATTTGCCAGAAATTACAACCACTCGTTTTTACCATGTCCAACATTCACTAATTTTCAAAATTTTTGTATGAGATTTTCGGAGGAGCCCTAATAACCTCTAGATAGGGCAAACCTTTTGCCAACAGAAGCAATTTTTTTTCTTTATTTTAGCTGCTTTTTCAGGGTTTTGCTAAGTAATTTTCTGAATGTCTTGTGTTTTGAAAAAATCGCACAACCTTTCATTGTACCAAAAACTCCAAAACCTACAGAATACTGAGGTTTCAACACACGATTATTCTCCCGTTACCATTACAAAGTAAATGAGCGATTCTCGCTTCAAATTATGAAGATTTTGAAACATAGGTCACGTCAGTGCGCACTCGTGAAATTGAGAAATACTGCGAATTTCCCCATAAAATTCGTAGAAATTCTAAAAGACAAGGCGTAGGGCTACAAAAAATTGCTTCTGTTGGCAAAGGGTTTGCCCTATCTGGTGGTTATTAGGGCTCGTCCGAAAATCTCATACAAAATTAGAAAGTAGTGAAATTTGGACATGGTAAAAACGAGTGGTTGTAATTTCCGGCAAATATCTCGTCATTTCTCAACGAAACACAACAGGAGTTTAGCAGCTGGAAAGAGGAAAAAGTTCTGCATTGGACACACTTCGAAGTGTCTGTTTATCCTCATTTTAGCGTGCTTGCCAATGGATTGAAAAAACTAACAAAACTTTTGCACCAAAAGTGGCTTTATAATTATGTCCAGCACTATATTAATTATACAAGTCTTTGGTTCGGACCTTCTAACAGGAAGCGTTGCAGTGAAGATTTATTCCTTTTGAGAAAAGCGACAAAATGATTTTCCATGTTTTCTGTTGTAGCGAAAAATAGACTGAAAAATTTTGAATTTATTATAAATCCAAAATGTCATATGAATATACATAAATCCACTTAAGTACTATCATTTTAGGTTCGAACTTCAATATACCAAAGTCGGCACTATTTTCAGCCTATCTCAATATATTCTCGAAAAGTAAGGCGATCCCTGCAGGGAGAGCGATTGTGCAGTTTTGGAAAAGAGGAAGTCAGACCTCGACGAAAAAGCATGTGAAACATTCAAAATTCAATTTAGCATTTCAATTCTGATACGTCTACTGACAGTACTTTTTTGCAAGACACGCTGAAGCATTGAGCTCTACTGAATACAGATAAAGAAAGGTAACAAGTTTTTTTCTGCAGTGAGAGAAAATTGTATTCGACAATGATGAACCGTGAAAAGATGTTCAAGATAATAAAGACCATACCTGGGTCATGACTCCCCACATGAACTGCACACACATAGTGATTATGGTAAGAGGACATTGATCAGTTGGATACCTAAACCAACAAATTATTAACCAACCGAAAAAATCTTGGTTGATGGGTATAGCCACATTTCTGCTCTTGGTATGGCTTTAATTCAACATGATTTTTATTTGTTTGAAGAAATTTGATCAAAAGTGGAGAAAATGAGCTGTTACAAAACTTGTTTGCAATCAAGTGCATGGGTGGTGTACCCATTGAAAGATCAGTTCAAATTCCATCCAAAAACAAATATTTTCCCAAAAAAAACCCGATTATTATCAGGTTGAGTTTTGGCCATATGAATGGGTGAACATCAACATGGCGAACAGCTTTTACTTTCATTTTTCATTCTTGCAAACATAAATTATACGAATAGAATGTTGGCAAAAGTCCATAAGGTGCATGCAAGACTGCCTACGTTTACTTTCCTTATATATTTCTGAAGGATTGAAAAAGCCAAGATGGCATATATTCTATTTACATTCCACATTAGAGCTGCAGCATAAGTCCGAATTCTTATCTTTCACATTAGTTAAATTGAAAGTTTCCTTACATTACTGCAATGAAATCACGGCAAAGGGAACTTTTGGTAGAATTGTAAATTACTGCTGCATATTCTCACATATTCGCAGCACATTTTTTCAGCAGGAACATACTTAATTCTACATTTCTCATAACTAAAAACTAATTTCCGATTGCAGTAGGTGATTCTGCCTGCAGCTTCACCGATGCTCACTGAGTGTATGTGTTTATCTTCTGCTATAATCCGATTGCCCATCAAGTTTTTGAAGCAAAAATCTCGATTTTATGTCAATATTGATCGGTAAATTTCAATGGATCAAAATCTAGATTTGAGTCTGCGGATGTAAAGTATGGAGATCGCACAGTAGACGGTTTTAAATTTTGAAAAAAATTCGGTCTGAAAATGGTAGCCTCTACAGGGCCACTGACTAAATACAAGCTACCACATAGCTTGCAGCAGCATGATTTCACAGACTTTCTGAATGTGCAAAAAAAAGAAATAGATTTGTGAAAAAATTGAATCAAAAAAGTGCTTGAAATCTGTCTAAAGGGTAAAATTTCAAGAAAAAGCGTATTTATTTTTATTTTTATTTACACTCTAGGTGCACCAAAAAAAATAAACACTACCATGCGATCTAAACGCAAACACCATGTTCGAGTTAAAACACAACTGAATATAACAGAGGCTTTGCCATCTTCAAAATTATGTAAATTTCGATTTAAAGTGTAGTTCAAATCATTTTTTTAGAAATCAGAACTACGTTCAACGTGGAAGAGGGGCTCATAATCTGAAGTCTGAAGCAGGGTCACTGTAGTGCTCTTTAATATTGGTAAGATCAATAGTTTCAAGGGGGGGGGGGTAGTGAAGAAAACAGTTCCGATATAATGAAGAAGCAAAAAGAACAGCACAATTAAAGTTTGTTTGCTTGCTCTCAATTTTGCAGTTAGGAAATAGAAAAATTGAAAAAGTTGTCATAGATTCATTAAGTACATCAGATTCTCTTTTGGAAAATCTTCTTGCTTTGCAGAAAAAGCAAGGACATTTCACCTTTGAAAGAAATGTTTAGTAGTCTCAAACATTGCAATGGCCAAAAGCCATCCACCAAAAGGAACCAATTCGCATTCTTGGAAAACACATTAGTTTGTATGATTTTTAACGATTACGCCCCTTACATGAATCAGCAAATTATTGCAAAGGAATCGTTTCCGAACGTTGCTCCCATATCAAAGCGTTATCGACAATAGAATAATGTGATAATAGCAATATAAACGTGAATTTCTAAGTGGCATTTTCACATGATTGATTTTCTTTTTTTGATTTATGAGAAGAGCATTTTAAATCTATATCAATTTGATTTTCAGCCACAGTATCAGAACTCATTGCACAGCTCCCTCCTTAGAAATACAAAACATGGGAGCTTTAGAGTTCAATGCCTGTTTGTGGGAAAGAACAGAGAATTGATTGGTTCCAACAAAAATAAACAAAACTTCACAAGCTAGCAAAAAGGGAATTTTTACCACCGTATTGCTTTGTGTAGAAAAAAAAACTAACAGACTAAAGTTTAAGTGTTTTTGAGGGCCACAAATCATCACTACAAATTGTGCCCAGGACACATCATTTTGGAAAAAAATGTTATTGCACAGCGAAAGATTTATGGAAACGCTTCCAACTGGCAAAATTTGAACAGAGACGTTCTCAAATACTATCAAAATGATCGGAACATGATCAGCCTGGAAGACTAGATAGTTCAGCACATGATAACAATTCTATTTGCCGTTGTACTTAGTATTACTTACTGCGAAACAAGACGATTATTCTCAGCACATGGCTTTATCACCCGATTGGCTGGGATGACTCCAGCATGACTTTTAATCTCTTTACAAGATTAAGCACTTTTGAAGACGCATGCACTTGTATCGCACCATTAATGTGAGTTACTTTTCCATAAAACCAATTCTATCGAAATGTGTGGAGAATGCATTTTCGAGAATGCATTAGCCGAGAGTGTATACGAGACGAGCCGAGCGCCATGTTTTCCTTCTGGGAGCGTTATGCTTTTAGCGATGGTCATTCAGAAGATGCTACTACCCCGAATGTGCTCGACATGTTAAGCACATATGTTCAAAAAGCTGATAATCACTCACCAATGAACGAGTAAACAACTTAGCAAAATAATAAAATGGTTTGAGTGGGAATGGGAATGTTGACACGTAAGCCACTTACCGAAAGCCGTATCCTAAAAAGAGTAAGGTATGTCAAAAAATTTCAGAGCGGTTTTTAAAAAAAATATGTGCAAGCATCTTAAAACTCACCTATTGTAGTCTGTGTAGTGAAAGAGAAGAGGAAGGCATTAATTTCCGAGTGTACATTGACAATACAAGGTGTCCAGCTGACATTGAATCGGTTATCCACATCACCGTGATGTTTTCCAATAGAGTAGTAAAGGGAGGCAAAGAATGTCCATGAGATAAGGAACGATAACGAAAAATAAAGCAAGCACCATCGCCATTTCATCTCGATAACCGTAGTGAAGATATCGCTGCAAAATGAAATTTGAATCACCGCTTTTCATTTATTTTGGATATCTTTGGTGATAATGGGCAGCGTCTCATGTGGATATCGGATGAAAGCCAATTTTTTCCTAAAACTTCCGGGATTTTTCGAAAATTTCCAAAAGCCATGACGTTTTGAGGAGCGTCATAAGTGTCGTCTCTTCCTCTTATGCTAAGATTCCCCTCAAAATCGGGTGTTCTAGAAGTGCTCATTAGGAAAGCATGACGAATTCGAACCTTCTTTTGTTTATTAGAAATGCATTCGCATTGCGTGGTAATGCTAAAGTAAGTAACACTGAAAATCCGAATTTTTGTTCATGAAACACAATTTGTCTTTAACCAATGTGATTTTTAATGAATAAGGTTTCTATTTGCCAACTATTTCGCAATGTTCGAGAACTTCGCTACCCTTGCACATTACTAGAAAAGCCCTATAAACTGATAAGAATGTACTATTAGGGTAACGCTGTCATCGGTAATGACAATTTCCGACGAGAACTGCATCGGATGAGCCTTCACAAATCAGGAACGCGTCATTTGAGTGCTCTCATTTCAGGAAGAAACAGATCGTAAGCAGACCCTGACTCAAATTCCGGAAAAGATTTATCACGTAAAGCCGCTCTGATGTGCTGAGCTTCTTTTTGGGAAATTTATGTCTCTTGTGCAAATCTCCGGAGTATACTAGCTTTGCTTGTAAAGAGTGAAAGCAGGAAGCACATAAAACGAGCTGCTTGTAAGGATTGCGTAGACTACGATATTCCACTACTATTTATTTTAGAAAATTCACCTTTGAAGTAAGCGCAAACAGTTAAGGCAAAAATTGCAAGCTTAGAAAATGAATCTTCAATAAGGACTTCAAAAAAGAAAAAAAAGAGAAAAGGATTTGAAAATTGGAGCCGATTTATGACAGACAGTCCATGCAAACAAAAAGGTGAGCTCGCCGTCTCGAATTTCGAAGAAAAAAACCGCTTTGTTGGATTTTCCATCCCTCTTTTACTTTCACATAAAAATCAGTGTTGACTCTTCAGATAGCATGCTGGTAATGATCAACCAGAATATTAAACTATTGCTGTGTAAAATCGGATAAGCCAATATTGTAGACTGCATTTGACATATTTATGTACTTACCTGAAGTATTTTCGCCGTTGTTTTGGTACATTCTTGAGACTTATATTACATATACCCTGAAAAAAGACAGAGATATGGTGAGCTGGCAATCATGAGCGTTTTCTGTACCTGTTTTTGCACGAGACGATTACGAATCCGTCGTGAACCGATCCTAGGTGTCTTAAAAAACGGATACTTCTTCGATTTGACGAGCGGTTCCTCGAGATCGAGCATACGCTGAGCTGCCAATAGGTTAGCTACAGAAGGTGATAGTGCGACGGCAGTTGCCTTCCGCATCTCGCGACGCCTTCAGCGAAAGAATTCGCCTTCGCCGTCTCAAACGCTGATTCCGCCCAGAGAGGACACACGCGCAGCTGCGTGTTTTCTTATGTCCACAGATGATAGTCGGTTATGTGATCGATAAACGTGCATAAACAGCGAATTACAATCTTTTAGAGGCACAAATTGGGCGTGTGCGACATGGTGGGGAAGGATGTGTCACGGGGGCGACCAATCAAGGAATGGCGGCGGAAGGGGTGGGAGTGCTGCCGGCACCTAATAGGTTATTGCGTACCTTAGAATGAGAAGGCACTATCACGCTTTTCTACAGCCACACAGCCTCCTCCGCAGTCACCCACAATTTCAGAAGAGTACCTAGACCACCCAGGAAGTAACAGGCAGCAGAAAAATCGCAAGAGACGAGTCCTATCGTCGGGTGCAACAGCTCCGTACGCACAGAGGCGATGATGAAGGCGTGCTGAGGGCAAGCACACAGCAGGGGCAGGGCCAGGCCCCGCTCAAAACAACAACCGTTCTTTCTTCTGGTTGTTCAAATTCAATTAGTTCGAGATTCATACTCGAAACCTTGCTCATTGCTGTGTTTGCTTACAACGAGCGTTGAAAAGTAGTTGAGAGATAAGAGCAGCATAGGGACATATCGCTTTTATAAACATTCGATGACCAACACGATTAATCGTTAGAAAATCATTCAAGAATGAAACCCGAAGTGTATCAAGTGCTAAAACAAGTTGAAACTTTTTTGTCCGCCTTACCAAAATTATGCAAGACTAATATAGTCCAGGGTAATTACTTAATTGTTGCATTTTCTTCCCTTCTCCGAAAAACTCTAAAAAATTCGATGAAGCTCATATTCAGCGGATGTGAGGCTTTTTCAGCTTAGGTTTTTGTGAGGTTTTAGGAGTATCAGTAGTATTACGGCAGTTCGGTAGTTGAGCTTTTTGATAACCCAAGTTGGAGATTTGCCCACAATAATTCAATAAGAAGAAAATTCAAAAACTGTATATTTCATGTGTAAGATGTGTTTGTGGACAATCCACAAATTCCGCATAATTTGGAAGGAGAAAATTATTTGATGAAGTTCGTTTTTTCTGGTGAATGTAACAAAACATATGTAACAACCTAATAGTTTGTTTCTACTAGAAGTTACCGGAATCTCGAATTGCGCAAGTGTGATCCACCAAGCCTATAAAGGGAAGAGATATAAGACCCTATTTCTATCAGCATTCGTCTCAATACTCACTAGCCAACAACGCGCTCAATTCCACGTCTGCGTTTGATTCATCGAGACAATTAGATTTGTTAATGATATGAAAGTATGCAATGTGCTGCCGAATCCTTGCATTTCCGGGCAACTTTGATGAGTGAACGCTGTGACAGCCGAGCTCGAATGTCAATTAGCAGCCTTTCTAAAGGCAATTGCAAAAGAAAAAATTGGAAAGAAAAGAAAAAGAGAAACCTATATTTAAGGGGTAAAGGAGTTCACGTAAACGAAAATATGGGTGCGAACAAATTGAGAGAAAAGAATTTAGTTTGTTGGTTTGTGGTTTTTTACGAAGCTTCAAATTGCCCTTTAGAAGTTTGCAAGCTGTCGAAGACATAAAGGCTCACACCAGCCAGCGGGACATGATTTTGCTAACTGAAAGAACAAACAGCTGCAAACAATAAGTAATGACTTGAATTAAGAAATAAAAATTCTTTGACAATGCTAAAAAACCAAAAGTTTACCACGTTTGCCAAGGGGTGAAGTACGACTGACGAATTTAGCGGGGTCATTTGTACTTTTTCTTAATAATTCAGGTTATTATTTATTGTTTTAATTAGCTATTTGTTCTTTTTTTGAGTGTGATTGCTGCACTTAGTTATAGTGTAGTAAGTGCTTACGGTTTAGTACTTACTTGATAGGCATAAATTTTAGACCAGGTTTCGTAAAGAGTCCATATTATCCAGAGAAAAAATTGCTCTTAGTCTTCTGGTGGCGCAATTAAACTTCAAAAACATTGCAAAGCACAAAAATTGTCCGAGGGAATCGTTCAATATAAGATTCGAGCTTCAGTGTTGTACGAGCCTGATTATCGGTGTGTGTAATTCAAAGCAGACATAAATAAGAATGCCAATTGGCTGCTTAATTCAAAAGATATACAAGGAAAGTGGGAAAAAACTAGCTATGGTTGGATGAAAATGAAGCAGCACTGCTTTCTCATCGTGGGCGATCAGGATCGTAGCGAAATCACAAAAGCAAACGTGCACGGATTAATTACGAGCAGCCCACCCTGAGTTGCTAATTTTTAGGAAAAAAATATAGGCGAGAAGAGAGGTAGGTTTTGCTGGTAAGCTATTGCTATTTTAGTTTTCATTTGCACCGATGTTGCACATGGAAATAATTTTTTTGATGAATTACTGCTGACCTCATCAGCACCATCTTTCATCTAAAAAAATCAATATAATAAGATTATACTAATCACATAATCTGGCAACTATAGTATTTTTACCACCATTTCCTCAAGCTCTAATCTTAATCGAAAAACAAGCGTGAAAGAAAAAGGCGATGCACTACAGCAAATCTCACTAGCAAAACTTCAGTGTTTTTGTGTTTAATTTTAATTTTTAGCGGAATAACTTGGGACAGCGAAGAAGAACCCTTTATGAAAATGCGCACAAAACAAATAATTTCTATGGTTCACCTTGCTCAAGATCCATCAGTAATGATCTCCCATGTAGGCGGCCATTAGCTAGCCGCTCGACCCGTTCCACAAAATTCTGCGGCATTTGCAGCCTCCAACTGGAAAAGAAGTCTTCAACCTTTAAAAAAAACGGCAGAGATGATCGACACGACAGCGAAAATTTGCAGAAGCATAGCCTTGGGAGATAGAGATCCAATTTGCAGTTTTACGAGGAGAATCTCGACCACTCACTCTACGAGTGATGTTCAAGCAAATAAGAACCGAGAGTCACTCACAGCTACGTAAAGAGGATCGCTGTCAGGGAGAGCGCAAGCACGGAAGAATCGGACGAAAACAAAAGTTTTTACCTGTTCTCTTGGCCACCTGATATTAGGATTGTGCAGTACGGAAACGCTTAAATTCAAAGCTTGAACATTGAATTTACAGAGTAGCAGAATGGTAAAATTCTATATGTTCTATTAGCGCATCGAAATTGTAATTGAACGGAGATAGCAATGATTAAATCAGTCCAATTTGCAGCCCTTGTTACCTTGCTTAGATTAGAGGAGTTATAATGAGTTGATTAGAGGAGTTATAATGAGTTAGTGTAGCTTCAGAACTGATCAAGCTGCTAGTGAGATGTTAGTTGTTTCGAAAAATCAAAGATTTAACTATGCAGGAGATAAGAGTTCCATGCTCTATAAAGGCGAAAGTGAGCCGTCGAGCATGCGCAGTGCCGGAAGAGCTTATGGAGTGGACCTGAACACATAACAGCTCAGCAATTTATCCGGAGCCGTCGACTAGACATCTCAAATTCCCCTGTTCCTTTTTAATTCTGAATCAAAAATCAACGAAAAAAACGATCTGGAAGTCTGAGTTAAAAGCTTGATGCATTCGCCTACCTTTTTATTACCATTTTTCGTTAGAAAAATCAGAAACACAGCAAAATGCACCTTTTGCTAAAGCTGCCGAAAGTGCCTGACGGGCTGGCATAATCATCGCCAATTTTCCAACAACCCCATTATCCTAGACATAGGTTTCCACAAAGTGCGTGGCGTTGCTGCGTTTCAAAATCTGTTTTTCTTTTCTTCAGTGAGAAAGAAGATTTAAGAAATGAACGATGGCAGGTGGAAGAGAAACGCAGTAGCTAAAAGCCGTCGAGAATCATATTCAAATGTTACGTTTTACTGCACATCTTTTCTTCATACTGAGCAAAATGTCAGAATTTGTTTTGATGATATGAATATGAGAGATTTGCAACTCCAGTCTTTCCCCATACGTTGTAAAAAAATGTAGATTAGATGTCCATTTAACTGATGATTATTCGAGAAATCAATAATTTGAACTAGCATATGGCGAGCAACGAGCATCTATAAACAGTAAACAAAACCTACCTGTGCGTATAAACACTAAAATGTCGTTTTAGTAAAGAACGATGAAGCAAAGTTCATTATTGTTTGCGAGCTTACACGGAACTAATGTTCCGGCTCTCTTTGTGCAAATAAACACCTAAACCAACAACAAGGATAACTTGAGTTGGTAATTTAAGCTCTGACCGGTCTGATTACAGTACGAAATACTGAGCACGCAGAAACTTCGAAAGGTTGCAAAATGTTAAATTGGATAATGTCCACACAATTTAAGTCATTCTTCCTTTGTTATGTACTTAGAAAAAGTGTTATTCACATTTTAGAAAAATCTCTCACTGTATGAAATACTGAGCAAGCAGAAACTTCGAGGGGTTGCAGAATGTTAAATTGGATAATGTCCACACAATTTAAGTCATTCTGCCTTTGTCATGTACGTACAAAAAGATGTTATTCACATTTCCAGAAAAATCTCTTTGAATATAAGGTGTACCAATAACAAAGGAGAAATAAGTTCTATAGAATTTACAAGGCATTTGGAATCAATAAATTTATATAACAAACGGAAATTTAGATTTTTGAAGGATGATAAGAGATAAATGTGCAACGAGTGCATATTAATGAGAAATATAGAGATAAGACTAGCAATGTGAAATTTCTTAGGCGAAATTGAGAAATGCTGCAAGGAAGGCTTTCAAGTCGTCAAATTAAAACGTGTCGAAGTAGAATATGAGGAGCAATGATAAAAGATTCATGACGCATTGTAGATACTGTAGCTGCAGCCTTGATTAATAGAAAAGTACGCTTGAACGAATGACATGTTGAAGTTAGCACTCAGCTCGCGCTTCTATGAAGCTTTAGCCCGCCTTAGAGAATTTTGGTGTCGGTACTTCAAAAAGAAGGACTAAACGTTAGCAGATAAGAAGAAAGTTTCGGAAAATTCTAGTTGATATAGTCTTTTTCGTAAGGTGTAAAGGCTATGTGAGATGTACAATATATTAGATTATCAAATAAATGCTCTAATGGAGAACATTTAGCACCTAGAAAAAACAAGCTGAGCGCGCTTTTTGAACCGGCGTGCAGAGCGAAGAACAAAAGAATTTGAAGAAGCTGCAACTTCCACAACATCTGCGACGAATGCAACGATTGAAAGTGGAAACATTACGCCCTCACGCCCTCAAATTTCTGCTCATTTAAATGAAGAAAAAAAATGTGGGAATAGATTCTCAACTTACATAGCCAACAAGTATAGATCGAGAAAATGCTTTGCATGATAATCTTCCTAGTGTGGGAATGTGCACGGCAGACATATAGCTGTCGATTTAGAAAATCTTATTTGGTGAGAAAAAGAACTTCTATGCCGACATATGCACTCTAAATTGGAGGTTTATAAAGTAAATTATTTTGAGCAAAAAATCAGAGAGGAAACTCTTGTGAATTTCCTATGTTTAGAGTAAGATGATTAGATGATTGATTGTAAAAAATTCAGGATAAGTCGCGTGGGATTACTTTTCTATCTGACAATTATTCAGTTCAAAACAATTCAGCCACTTAAAATGGTTTAGATATGTACAACTATTTTTTAGTAAAAACAAAGCCATTACTCTAAATCTCGATTATTTCCATCGAAAACTGTCACTGAATATTATACGAAAATTAGAATTTTGAAGTTTGAACTTTTATATCTCAAATATCTTGAAAATGGAGTTTTAAGTTTGACTTTCCACATTTTTCTAGAAGGTTTACACAAGAAACTAAGAGTGAAGCAGAGACAGTACTGTTATAAATGTATTTGCCGAAAACGACAATTTATGAAAGACACTAAAGTAATGCTGATCTGAAATCCATGTAGCTCATATTATTCTGGCATGGAGAGCGTGTCATCCCCAGAGCCATGAATTTTTTTCTTTCAAAAAAATTAATCTGGAAAATGAAATGAGTCCGAGAGCATGAAGCTGAAGAAAAGCATGAATGTCAGTCAAACGTGAAGGCATATTGCTTCAGCGTTTAAGAAGTTTAAGGTTTAGGCTATATATCAGAAATTATAGCTGAATAGGCGTTAATGAAGCTATACGAGCCATGAAGCTTGAGTTAACGAGTAAAATTGCAAAAAGATTTGTGTTTTGATAAAAAGATTTGCGAGCATTTATAAAAAAACAAATTTACTTACGTAATGAACTAACAAAGCGACTAAGGCAATAAAAATAGAAAGTCGATATTTTACGATCAATACAAGGTGCTCAACTATCAATTTATGACGCTCTCTTTACCTTCTCTTAGCCGTGTTTACTAAAACAGCTGTACGTCGAGTGCCTGTTAAAAAAGCTCCTTGAAAACTTTGACATTTTGTCAATAAAGCGCAAAAAAGAAATTATGACGATCCACACAAGCAACGTGGATGGACGCCACAGTATAATGATTTGAACGATGGATTTCCAACATTGGATAATATTTGCTTCATCTTCAAAAGTAAGGAAATCTCGGATAAATAAAGGAATGAATTTAACTTGTAAATGAAGAGTTTTTATCTAGAATGAGAGCGAGAAATTTCCTGACACAATGACATAAATTTCATGACTGGTAAGTCAGCTCACTGTGTGCACAGAAGATAAAAAACCCAGTAAATTTCTGAGTAATCTCAAAAGATGACAAGGTAGCTTACTTCAATTCCAGAATTTTTATGATTGAGTATTCGAAATCTTGATAATCAAGACTGAACACTTAAGACAAACTATGTAGTAGCGACTATTGAAAGAACAGAAGAGAAAAGAGACAATGCACTATCTACATTTGTAAATGCGCATAAATGCCAATGCATGTGTATCATCCCTGTGAATAAAAATTTGCAAAAAAGGTGTGCTGATGTAACAGCATAATTGCAAAAGTTAAAAATAGAAGACTATGCTATTGATTACGAGTTGCTGCTGTACAAGGACCATACGCGCTACTTAGACAGCCATCAAATTCTAAGTTAAGCACTTGATTTTCGACTACTTTTTTGATCATTTCGATGCGAGAAACTTTTCACGAAAAATAAAACCTCACTCAAAATAAAACCTAATAAACTTTTCTATGAGCTATTTATTGCTTAGGAGTGATAAAGATACAATTATCGCATGCGCACCACAAAAGGATAAGCACACTCAACTTCCCAAACGCTTTTTTCGATGCAAACGCAGCGACACACTGAGTAGATAGCGCGCTCCAAGCACACAACAAGATGCTGCTCGAGCGCGGCAATTGTTTTGACACTTTCCGAAGCCTACCCTTATACCAAAATTTCGCTCAAGACTGCTTAGAGAAAACATATCAAGCGGAGGTCTAATTCAATGCTCAGGAAATGCAACGAAAGACTGGACAATGTAGAAAGTCAAATTGCCTGGCCGCCTGCCCTATTATTCGCTTTTTATGCATAAATCAGCGCTTTTCTTGCCGAATTGGTACCTTTTCTTATAGTTCAGCGAGAACGGGTGCACTTGCACAGCAACCAAACTGTCGGTAAAGTTCAAACATTCAATGATGTGAAAATCATAAGAGCTTCTGTAAATACGCACGAGCAGCAGCTTTCGTTGCTTTCTTCTGTGAAACCGTCACACACGCACACACAATGAACGAACTTCTGTCTCAGTACTTGTGCAAATATTTCGCTATAGCTAAGGTAGAGGAAGATGAAGTTCATGTTAGGTCTACTGTTGTTGACGGAAATTACGAATCAATGAGAAGCATCCAGAGGAAGAAAAGTTGAAAAAGATAT